ATACAATAATAGACAAGTTCTGCTTCAGTACATCTGGATCCTCATTCATATTTGCATATGCAATAATAGCTACACGACTGGGTACACTTATGCGACTGGATTCCTGGCATTACCCTCAGAATAGATTTCATTTCTGCTGTTTCAAATATAATTCTTTTATTAGTGGTATTTGTGTGGCACCAAATGAAGGAGCAAAGACTTACACCCTGCTGAACAAAATTATCTTAAACCAGCTTAGGTTGGCCTAAGACCAACAGATTGGTTTTTGGCCAATCTGCTGGCTGGTTTTAGGGGAGTTGGGGCACTTTTTTTAGCGTATGTTGCAGAAGAGGAGACCAGCTTAAACCACGTAAGACCAGAAAACAGCTTTTGTAGGTTTAATTGGGATTTTCAGCAGGTTATAGGATCAAGAATACTTGGTGGGCTCTTGCCAGAATACCTTACTGCAAAGTAACACCCTAAAACACTGAGAAAGTGTTTAGTATTATTTATAGTTTTTGTTAATATTTAGAATAGTTTTAATTTTTAATTTATTTCAGTTTTCATTTTATTTTTTGTGATTTTGTAATGTACTTTTGTAATTTTTATTAGTTTTGGAAAATGGTTTAATTTATTTCTATTTCAGTTAGTACTGAAACCTATTATCAAATTAAACTTATTTCAGTTAGTTGCCAAGATAACATTTTAAAATATTTATAAATATTTTTCTTCAATGCTGCAATTATGTGATCAAAAAACAGTAAAAACAGTGATATTGTAAAGTATAAATACAATTTAAAATATATTTTTTATATATCTAATGTTTTAAAATTTAAATTACTGTGATGGCAAAGTGGCCAAATGAATTTTTAGCTGCCATTACTCCATTTTTCAGTGTCACATGATTCTTCAGAAATCATAATATGCTGATTTGGTGCTCAAGAAACACTTCTGAATATTATCAATGTTGAAAACAGTTGTGCTGCTTATTATTTTTGTGGAAACGTAACATTTTAATATTTTAATATATTCATATTTAGGATAGTTTGAATTTCTCTGTTTTTATGATTTTGTAATGTACTTTTGTCATTGTTATTAGTTTTGGAAAATATTTTAATTTACAATTTCTATTTCAGTTAGTACTGAAATTTATTATCAACTTAAACTTATTTCAGGTAGTTGCCATGATAACATTTAAAATATTTTGTTTATATGTTTTTCATGTAATATTTATATTTTATTTTAATTCAGGTTTATTTTGATTAAAAATCAAATGTTTTAGTTAACAGCAACCGCATAGCAACTATTAACAACTGTAGTATCATGTAGTATAATAAATCTAGTTTAATTTTATTATTTTGAAAGGAAAACATACTAATCTCCTAATTAAGAGTCTAAATACTTCACCACACCTAGATTATGTCTTGAAAATCTGCTGCTATTATTTTTAACAAGCATTTAATAATGCAGATGTTCCCACATGAATCATGACAGCACGTGTGTGAAGAGTCAGGCTGGTTTTGGGTGTGTTTGAAGGGTGGTGTGGGTGTTTGGGTGGAGTATGCACTGAAGGCTACACACTTGCTTTGGGGAAACGTGCCTCTGAATCCATCCAATGGGAAATGGGTGTGAATGGAAGAACGGGTATTTATGGAAGGCAAAGGGCCTTAGGCACCTGTTCACCACTTGTCCCAATGGATTTGCACAGGCTTGAGGTGAAAGTAATCTGAAAATGTATACACACTTTCAAAAGTTTGGGGTCAATAATATTTTTTAATATTTTTCACCAAGGCTGCAACTGTGTGATCAAAAATACAGTAAAAACAGCACTGTTGTAAAGTATTAATACAATTTAAAATAAAAATTGTTTTATATTCTTAATATATTTAAAAATTTAAATTTCTCTAATTGCAAAGCTGAATTTTCAGCAGCTATTACTCCATTTTTCAGTGTCACATGATCCAATACGCTTTTTTTTTTTAAGATTTATTTTTGTTTTTGTGTTTGTTTGTTTGTTTTTGCCTTCATTAGGACAGGAGAGAAATTTTATACAGGATGCGAAGTGGGAGAGAGAGGGGGTACGGGATCGGGAAAGGTCCACGAGCCGGGACTCGAACTCGGGACACCCGAAGCGCAACGGCGCATCAGTGTTGAAATGTTGAAAAGTGTTACTATCAGTGTTGAAAACAGTTGTGCTGCTTATTATTTTTGTGGAAACGTGACATTTATTTCAGGCTTATTTGACAAAATAGAATGTTTAACATTTATTTGAATTAAAATTTATTTGCATTCATTTGAAATAGAAATTCCAAACATAGTGTAGGAGGAGGCCGGGGCTAGTTATCACACTATTTACTTTAGGGAATAATTCTCAGGTTTATTTTTAAAAGGCAATTTCTGCACATAAACTTTGCCTACAAAAGTACTAAATATTTTCACTGTTATTGTCCAGGGGGGAAAAATATTGTTTACTGATTACATGGCAGGGCACGTTGCCACACAATATGGGGTAAGTTGTCACAATGGAAACCTGGCATAATACAATAGCTTTTATTTTAACAGCAAAAATGTAAGTGAAAATTATGAAACAAATAAAAATTATGACAACAAAAATGTAAAACAAACAAAAATATTAAACCATTATCTGGCCAGTAATGAAATTCTTACATTTAAAATACATAAATAAATATGTGACATGCTTTGACAACTAACCCCATTCTCACTTATACAGTCAGGTCCATATTTAGACACAGGCACAATTTTTAATATTTTAGCTGCTGACCAAAACATATTAAAGTAACAGTTATATAATGAATATGGGCTTAAAATGCACACTCTGATCTTTAATTTGTGGGTATTCACATCAAAATTGGAGGAAAGGTTAAGGAATACAAGCTCTTTAATATGTACCTCCCCCCTTTTTCAAGTAATTGGACAATTGACTCAAAAGCTCTTTCATGGACAGGCGTGGACTATTCCTTCATTATTTCTACATCAATTAAGCTGGAGTCAAAGTTCTGGAGTTGATTAAGTGTGCCATTTACATTTGGAAGCTGTTGCTGTGAACCCACATCATGCAGTCAAAACAAATCCATCAGAGAGATAGCAGGAACATTCAGAGCGGCCAAATCAACAGTTTGGTACATTCTGAGAAAAAAAGAATGCACTGGTGAGCTCAGCAACATAAAAGGCATGGACGTCCACGGAGGACAACAGTGGTGGATGATCCTCTCCATTGTAAAGAAAAACCCTTTCACAACATCCAGCCAAGAGAAGAACAATGCCAAGAGAAGAACACTCTCCAGGAGGTACAGTAGATGTGTCACTGTCAAAGTCTACAATCAAGAGAAGACTTCACCAGAGCAAATACTGAGGGTTCACCACAAGGTGCAAACAATGCCAGATTAGACTTTGCCAAAAAAACATCTAAAAAAGCCAGACCACTTCTGGGAAAGCATTATTTTTCTGGACGGCTGAAACTAAGATCAACCTGTACCAGAATGACGGGAAGAAAAAAGTATGGAGAAGGCTTGGAACAGCTCATGATCCAAAACATACATCATCTTTGAAACATGGCGGAGCAGTGTGATAGCATGAGCATGCATGGCTTCCAGTGGCACTGGGTTACTGGTGTTTAGTGAAGACGTGACAGAAGACAGAAGCAGCCGGATGAATTCTGAAGTGTATAGGGATGTACTCTCTGCCCAGATTCAGTCAAATGGAGCAAAGTTGATTGGACGGCGCAAGTGGACAATGACCCAAAACATACAGCAGAAACGACCCAGGAGTTTTTGACGGTAAAAAAGTGGAATATTCTGCAATGGCCAAGTCAATCTCCTGATCTCAACCCGATTGAACATGCATTTCACTTACTGAAGACAAAACTAAAGGCAGAAAGACCCACAAACAGACAACAACTGAGTCAGCTGCAGCAAAGGCCTGGCAAAGCATCACAAAGGAGGAAACCCAGTCTCTGGTGATGTCCATGAGTTCCAGACTTAAGGCAGTCATTGCCTGGAAAGGATTCATTGAGAGGTTTTGAGCAAAATTGCTCCAAAAATATCAAAAATTAACATTTTATACGAGTGCCACTGCATTAGAGTTTTAAAATGCTATAATTGTTGTAATTTTCCACCTTTTAGTCATTAAAAAAACATTACTTCACAACAAGCATTAAGGTTTCGTCCCGCCAAGCCAACACAGCAACTCCCTGCACTGCAGCTGTGCAAATGTGCTAATACAGCAAACTTACTGACGCTGTAACACCGACACACAAATGAACTTGAATAAACTGGACGCTGCAAGATTCACATTCCTCTCACTGAAATCAGCTATAGGTAGAGCGCGAGTCAATAGTCACATAGGTATCAAGAGGCACTTTTTTACAACAGTACTATGTCAGGGTTCTGTTTGACTAGTCGACTAAGCAATTTGGAGATTTATGGGAGACAACAGGACTTGGTTGCGTGTAACTGTCAAAGGAGTGTAGAGTCAGGAAAAGGTGGACATCTGCTCAGCTGACTGATCAGTTTGAGAGAGAAATGACGTAGACACATGGTCAAGGCAAAAGCCTGTAAGAGCTGGCAAAGACCTGAGTCTAAAAAAAGACATGGGTGACAGACATTTTTGGGTGTGTGGAACAGTGATGTAAGGGACAAACTAGTCAAAAACGTAACACTGCCATACAGTGACCTCAACCCCAAACAAAAAGAGAAGTGTTGTGAGCATGACTGGGACTTGCCAATATCTTTCTCCCTCTGATTTCCACGGTCTGGCAAGTGCTGAAGAATCTCTCTATTCATGAGAAGTGAAAGGAACCTTTGTTGGAAGCCTTTCACATTCCCGCTGAAGGATGTAAAAAGGAAGAGCCAGTGGCAGACAGGAGCCCCCGCCCGCTTGATAACTGACCGTTAGCCTGACCAATGAGAGAAGCGAAAAGCGCAGCGCTCAAACATACCTGTGAGAGAGGGCGGGGCTATGCAAAACCAGCGTGGCGCTTTCAGTGGATGCGCTCCCGCTCTCAAGCCATTGGTCAACTTGCGCGCGTGGAAGACAAACCTGACGCTGAGTGACAGGATCCACTTCAAGAGACGATGGCTTCAAAGTGCCCTAAATGCGAAAAGACTGTTTATTTTGGTAAGTTTGTTTACTTTTCGGTTTAATTCTGAAACTCTATTAAAAATACATTCACCGTTATATTTTGATATGATAAATGACTTCCACGATGTATAATCGTGGAAAGCGATTGTTTGTTTACACAGGTGCTGATAAAACGGATTTAAACATCTGAGAGTTTGCGATAGATTGTAAAATAAATGCGTCTGCGGATAATCACTCACTTCACCGCTTTCAGGGATTCACTTATACTTTCTAGTGCACTCACCTCTTTCAAAACTCCCCAAAATTATTTCTTCAACTTGCTAACGAAAAGATGCGGTGCATTCCATGAATACGGGATTTCCGTGACTTTTGTAGTGCTTAGAGGGACAAATTCCGTGTTTTTCTTTGCGATTTTATTTATATCAGTTCATTGTTCCAAAGCTATGTTTAATTATCATCTTATATTTTATTTGTTTTTATTTATTAATATTATAAATTCTGTTTTATATATTAAACTATTTAAAATATATTATTTATCCATTATATTTATTTATAAATTCTTTAATTTATAAGTTCTGTAGATTTAATTTTGACATCTATGTTTGATGTAAATGTTTTGTGTAAAATGTGACAAAATCTCACAAATCATGGTTTTAAATTGTTTTTAGACATATGATGATGCATATAAAATGTAGTCCCTGACCATTTAAGAAAGAGGGGGAAAAGCCTTTTTTGCCCTATTTTGTACTGTATTTGTGGAAAGTACCAGAGATAGAAATAAATATGCAAAGATAAACTTTGAATGCCAGCTTTTTACTTTCAGACTGCTGAGTGCAATGACAGCCAGTTTATATTCAGACAATTTTATTGCCCACTTCTGTAACATTAATAATGAACAGTTGTATCTAAGTCCTGTCTACATCTTACAATCATCTTTCTCTTCTTTTTAAACATGACCAGATGAGGGGCTATTTTTCTCTTTTGACCAGATGAGTGGCTATTTTTATAAACACTAAAATGAAAGCTTGAAAGTTGATTTACTTTGCTTTTATAGGCTCAGATGTTTTCTTAAATAATACAGCATGTGGCTCTTGGTGTGGATGTTTTGGGAGCTGAAAGATCATAGCGAATGAAGGACCTCTTATTTTCATTTATATCCATTTTCAGGCCAACAGCATTGATATCTGCTCAATATATACCTCTCAAGCCATTAAACAGTTGAATAGCCTCTCTGCCACTTGACCTTATCATCCATGCTCTCATATTTATAAGGTTATTCATCAGTGCATCAGAGCCTTTGTGGTGGAAACTGAGATGATTATTCAGCTCTTATTTATGTTGTATTAATCTGTGTGTCAACAGAACAGCCTTAACACACGACCAATAAAGCTGTCGGGTGGTTTTAAATTGATGTAGTGAGCGAGGTGCTGTTATATAAAAGCAAGTGCAGCTCTTTTCATGGCTATGTGTCTAGTGGGTGGGCAGAAAGTTCTCTAGCTTGGCTGTTTTTCAGCTGGTTATGCTTCAGGATCCAGATTTCACATAGGACGACAAAATGTATTAATTTTTCCATTTAGTTCACAGGCTTAATAATATGCAAAATCACTCATATAACATCAAAAATAGCAATTTTGCTTTAAAACATACAGGTTTTGAAGTCTAAATAAGACATGATGGCTGGTTTTGATGGAGACAGACAAAATGCTTGCTGCATTTTTATTTTATTGGGCGCAAGAGAGGAACGTCTCTGACATTTTTTTTTTCAGTCTTATGGTCCATGATGCCATAGGGCAGAAGAAAGGACAATGCAGGGTTTCACCCAAGACCTCAGTTTATGTCATGAGGGAGTTGGTGGAGATGGATGTGGGTGACTGTGCTTTTATTAGACTCACGTTGAAGCCAAGACGCATTCCATGCAGCTGTGGAAGAGCAGGGGTGCGGTTCTCCTCTTTTGGTCCTCAAAGTGTGTTTCCTCTGAATATGGAAATGTCACCAAGTGGAATATTTGAGGTTGACGGTGAATGCTGCATCCAGATCCACAGTCTAGACATGAATGAGCAGAAACCAGCAATAAGGCTTTATTAAATAATAATCGAAATAATCACGAATAATATTGATATTATTGTTTATTATTTCATTGTTATTTTTTATTTATCTATTAATATTAATTTGCATTCCTAGTTTATATTCAATATTAAATGTAACATATTAAATAAAAAAACAAACTGGTTTGGTTGCAAACCCAGCTGTTCCAGATGGTATTTCCAAATTGAGTTTGTGGGAGTTAGTGCATGTGTTCCTGTAAATTCCTTTCCTGTTTCAAGTGGTAAGCCACTGTATTGAGAGGAAACTTTTCAAACTTTCGGTTGAACCTTTTATTCGTTTATTGAACAGCTGTTAGCAGATGCTGTGGCTTTCTTACACAAGAGCAAGCGTAAAAGCTTAATTTCTCACATTCAAAGGTGACACATTGAATCAGTACTTTACCATTTTTCATACTTCAATTCAAAATGGGTGGGCTATCCAAATTTGAGAGTCTGTACTCTGAAAAATATTATCGGCATTGTGTCCACTTTCACATTTGAACACAACCTTTGGAAGCAAGTCATGTATGCCTAAAAAACAAAGGCAGCATTGTAAGTAAACAAATGTAAAAAATTTATGTGATAGAAAACCTGTCCCTATTAATGGCAGACAGAGCTCACTTGCATCGTATCAAATCTCACTGACGAGAGAGAATCTGACAAAACAAAGAATCTGCTTCTTTCACTTTCCTTCATCTTTTCTCTTTTTCACTGCTCTCCCTTCAAGGCCTGTGCTCACTCTTGAATAGAAGTTAGGAATGCTTTCTTTCTTAGATGCCAGTCACATCGAAATGTGAGAGGGCATGTCTATTATGTCATCCTTTGGTTTCAGATACAGGCAGACAAACCGTTGGTTTAATGGGGAGTTGTACATACCACCCCTCACTTTTCCTTTTTTCTCTCTCTGTCCCCATCTCTCACCGTTTCAGATTTACTTTTATTGCTTATACCCATTAAAACCCTGTGTTTTCCACATGGCTGCCTCACAAGCTGTTTTAATGTGCAGAATTGGTTATATAATGCCACTTCTTGTATTTTTGTCTACTGTTTAAGGGCATTGCGTAATCCTGGGAGTCAGAATTGGGGGCCGTTTGCCTTGTCTGTCAGGATTCCTGCCAGGCATGAACCTCGACCATAGTTACAAGATGTTGGGGGTTTTTTTTGCGCTTGTTGCAAGGTTAGCAAGAAAAAAGACCTAAGCCATCATGTAATTACTTGTGTTTTATGGGACTAGCCTTTAAACTGACATTATTCTAATTCGACTTACCCGAAGGCCTGCACACATGCATAATTTGTCCATAAATTTGCTCTACCTGGAGACACATCAAGGAGAATTTAATGCTGTGTGTATTTTTTCCTCTCTAGAATGTTCATAAATCACCCCATGAATGTATCAGAATCTTTTAAAATAAAAATTCTGAATTTTAACTGGTTGAATTTCACAAAATGTATAGTTTAAAAGTAAACTACACTGAAATTACATAAATTATAGATTTATTATATATTTTACATAAATACTAGTTTTTTATGTTATAGTAATGAATATTTTAAGGCATTACTATAATTAGAATTGGAAAATAAAATGTGCTTAATTGTCAGAAAAGTGTTACAATGCGAAACATTTTACATTACTGCAGCAATTTCTTTCTTTTGATTTTGTAATGCAATGTGATCCAGCCTGTTCATAATAGATTTCATGATATTCACCCAACCACTGAAATGTGAGGACCAGTAGAGTTTCATATTGGCTGCAGGGAAGCTGATTGAGGCTGAGCACCACGAGGCAGCATTGATTTGTACTGACAGCCATGGGCACTGCAGTAGCACACGGGCACATGTAGCTCTCATTCAAGCCAGACAACTGAAAATCACGAGGTTGCCTAATTTATATCAAGAGGAAACTGCGAAGAGACAGACATCTTGCCGTGCCTTGCATCAGCAGGGCCACATCTGTGCAGCGAGGGCCCAAACCATACCCAGCCTTTCCGCACTACTGTAAGGAAATTCACAAGCCGCTGCAAATTGAAAAACCAAGCTCGCAATCAGACGCCTATTTGAGATTTGTTTGGAGAAGGAACTGTCACTCAGGAGTTGATGGCTATGGGCAGGGTCATCATAGAAGAGTAGGGTCATTAAACAGAGCTACAGAACACGATTTGAGAACAGCATGTGTATTATTTATAGCTAAAAAAGCTGAGGATCATGGGAACTAACCACAGCAATCATCTCCCTGCTTACTGGAGCCATGAAGGGCATGTAATGATTTTGTGTACATTTGAGCTACAGTTTACCTCGTTTTATCTCTGTGTGTGATCGTACATGTTTGGCTAAGGCCTGAAGGCCCTCAGGTGCAGGGCTAGCGGGTCAGGCTGTAATCAGTGACTCGAAGCGAAGCACCATGTTGGACCCAGATGGCGTGCATGTTGCTTTTGCAGTATGAGGGGACACAGTCAGGATAGAGTACAGTATAATAGTAGTGCTCTGAACAGATGGGTCCACATTAATGGCTGTTGAAGTGGAAGCAAATCTGTCCCTGCCTTTCAAATTTATTTCCATGTGTGTGACCACATTGAGTGGACGGATATATAACGCATGTCATTTTGCCCATCTTTTGAGTCCTGATCTCTGTTAGGAACTTGCATGGCCGGTTCTTCAAACCATGTACAGAGTTAATGTCAAGCCAGTGCCAACCAGTAAGTACTTGTTTGTTTATACTTTTTTGGAGTTTTAAGTTTTATAAAAAACTATTTTAACACACTGAAAGTCTCTGCTGAGGATGATGGAGTAGGTTTTAGAGTGCATTCCTGCTGTGGAGCCTATAGGGTGTTCAGCTGTGTAAATGTTGTTGAGGCCTAGCGCTGTTTATTTGTGATTACATCTCAGGCAGGATCAGCATATAACAGACCTTCCTTATCAATTTCTTTTTCTCGTTAGTGCAGGACTAAGCATCAG